AAAAAAAAAATGACAGTCGGATGACTGAGGCCCTGCCCTTGTTTGGCTCCAGGAGAGTTACTATCCTTACATTAACAACAGTTACCTTACAGGAGATTGCAGATTCTGAGAGTTGCCCTCCCTCACACTAGGTTGTGCCAGGCTGGCAGAGTGGACTGTTTTAAAGAGTGATGGTCTTCCCCAGTGGTGGGATTCAGCCGATTTGCACCACTTCGGCAGAACCGGTAGCTAATTTTTTGTTGCCCAGGCCCAGAATGGACTTCCAGATGCAGCATCCACACAGAGAACCGGTTGTTCACCTATTTCAATCCCACCACTGGTCTTCCCCAAGCTTTGCCCTGATTGCTATCAGTAAATGTTACAATCCAAGTCCATTATCATTCTGAACTGGTGGCAGCCAATATTGGTTCATAATTTTAGACTGCTGCAGTCATGCAACTCTTGGTGGCTTATAAGAAATAAAATATACATAATACAATAACATCATTATCACCATTATCAAAGTTGTAATCATAAAAAGTATATTCACAAGTGTATTGTGAAAAGTGTAACACAGAAACAATTCTTAAGTATTATTTTACTATCTTAAAAAAGGCCCTCCAGAAAAGCCCCATCTCCTTCTTTCAGAAGACCCAACCAGGTTAAGGCAGTTAATCTCCAGTGATGAACTATTCCTTAGCATGTAAGTCATAATGGTGAAGCATCTCCTCCCAGCTCCAGTCCTTCTGTTCTGATGGTAGTGGAGACTAACAGCAATTTTTTCATATTGGACAGGCCAATTCTGGTTGAAGGAGGAGGTCCTTAAGTGTTCCAGTGTTGCATTTAGTAATTATTAATTTCCTGTTCAAAATTTCCTTTCTCTTTTTTGTTCAGCTTAAACAACATGAGTTCAGAGAGAAATTCCGAATCGATGCACCTTTCACTTTTGTTGATCCAGACCCATATAAATCCTTAAGCAAGGTAATAATTTGCTAAGACAGTGCTTTCCAAACCTGGGCAAACTACCCCAAGTTGGGTAAAAATGTTTTTTTTTTGGGGGGGGGGTAACAACACACAAACTCATTAACCAGACATTTACATTGACTTAATGACTGCCACATATACTAAAATATACTCAAAAATCTCCCAACATATTTTTATTAAGATGAAAATCAATGAAATTACCAATGGTTATTTGTTGAAATGACATTATAAATATTATTGTCTTTCTAATACTGGTAGTCCTAGAGCTACAATTCACTGATCATTCGAAGTTAGAACAGTGCTGAAGGAAGGGACTTACAACTGGCCATCAAAGTTTGATAAAACTTTCTGATAAGCCATGTTTGGTAATGAAGGAAAAAGTTTGGGAAGCACCGTACTAAGACGTGGAAATGTCTATCTGGGTAATATTTTATGGATTTCAAAGAATAACTTCCTCTAATACATATGCAGTACTTTTAGTGCCACAGTAAAATTCCCAGAACGATTGAGCTCTGTTGTTTCCCTTTGTTGAGTTATATATGTCATTAATAATTGTCACATGTGCTATCAACCATGCATCAAGAAGACTTCAATAAGGTCTTGAAGAATGGCCTGGAGTGCCGTGTTCCTGGCTTTAATGCTACTGAGAAGATAGACAGTAAAGGTCTAACATCTGTACTCAGCAAGTGGAAATCAATGCCTTTTCACTGTGTGCTTTCAGCAACAAAAAATGATTACTGTTATGGAGAAAGAGATGGAAGCCCTATCCAAATCTGCAAGCTTGTTTGAAGTATCTGTTCCAGACTACAAGCAGCTGAAAGCATGCCATAAGGAAGTGCGCTTGCTCAAGGAGCTCTGGGACATGATTGTCTTGGTAAGACTTTGAAGTGTAATTTGTGGAATGGGACAAGTGCTAAACTCTGAACCAAAATGGCAGGTCTTGCCACATCAAAAAGCAGAAAAAGTGAATTACTGAGGGAAGAAAATCCCAAGTTAGATCAATGTTGCTTCCCCTGTAACCCAAGTTTTTTTTTGTTTGCTTCTTTGTTTGTTTCATTCTGCTGGTTGATTTCTTTGAGTGACTCTGTCACTCTGTTTTTGTTTGGAAGTGGAAGTGTGGGCCGGGTGTTTGACGAGCAGAATATTATTTCCTTAATGGTTATATGGTTAGCATGATCTTCTATGTGTAGGATAGAGAGATCAACCTGAGTGCTTGATGGAAAGTATGAGAAGTCGTTGCAATTGATAGGTTCTTGTGAAGGATGAAGGAACTGCATAGGAGAAGAACTTGGTTCTCTCTGGATCCAAAAGGGAACAGCAAGTGCCTTGCTGAATTGCTTATTTGTCTCCTCCTATGATCTGTTGATATAAGCAATTCTGCTTGTGAGTCTTCATGTTTTTTTCAAATAGCTATTTGTGTGGGTATCCACAAGGGAGGCAGAAGAGGAAAGTGACAATAATGGGGTGATGATATTGTCATGTAAAATTCATGATGTATATGTTTGTATCAGATACCATAAAATCATTACAAAATTTTGTCACTTGCATGATGACATCACACCCTTGAGCCATGACTTTGATGACATTGTGGTTTGTTACAGACATCTATGACTATTTCCAACTTCTTGGCATTGGGGGAGTTTTCTATCCTTATTTCTGAAGATATTGGTCGTTTGCCTCTAGAGCCCCCAAGAGAAATTTGCTTATGCACCCATTAAATAACAAATCATTTAAAGCTGTGTACTGTCTGTTCCTAATGCAGGAAAACATTTATTTTGAATGGCCCATTTGGGCTACTGAAAAATAGGTTTGAATATCTCATTATTTGCATTGCATAGGGATAAATGGCAGTAAAGGGTTAAAATAGATATCTCGTTACTATAAGTTTTTTTCTCCTTTGAGCTGTAAAATCTTCAAAGCCTTCAAAATGATTCATAGGTTTTATAAGACTGTTTGTCTACAGAAAAGATTGCACACATATATGCATTTCCATCTAGGTAAATGAAAGCATTAATGATTGGAAAACAACCAAGTGGAAAGAGATTAATGTTGAACAAATGGATCTTGATTGCAAAAAATTCGCTAAGGATGTGAGAACTTTGGACAAGGAAATGAGACCGTGGGATGCTTTTATAGGACTGGATAATACAGTTAAAAACATGATCACATCTCTTCGAGCTGTGAGTGATCTCCAAAATCCAGCTATCCGAGATAGACATTGGAAAGAACTCATGCAGGCCACTCAGGTAATCTTATGTAGGCTAAAACAAAGACCCACAAGATTGATGATCACCATCATTGTCATCCTCATCATCTTTCTAATTTATGATCTTCCATCCACAAATTTGAAGTGTTCCAATAAAGTGAAATGTAAAAAATAGTATCTGTAGAAACCTATATAAAAACAACCTTTTTTTATTGTTGTACTGTGAGCTGCCTAGAGTTATGGAACATAAGATAAATAGCTATATCAGTCTTTTAAATAAATGAATGAATAAATATATTATAAATAAAGAAAAAGTCATAAAACAGTTAGACCCAAACACTGGTTCTTCTGATTTCTTGTTAATCTGAATATAAATTGAAGCTGCAATTATTATAGAATTGCAGAGTAGAATAGGAAGACTACAGATGAGTGTTCAGCTCTGACTGACTGTCCTTCCTCGCACGTCTTCCGTACCAGGTGAGGTTTACCATGTCTGATGAAACAACACTGGCAGATCTGCTTCAGCTGAATCTTCACAAGTTTGAAGATGAGGTTCGCAGCATTGTAGACAAGGCGGTGAAAGAATCTGGGATGGAAAAGGTACTGTTTGCCCCATGCCATGACCATTAATTACTCCCTCCTAGGTACAGAACACTTTGAAATGACATTGAACAGAGTTGTGATTCTCATTCTTTTCTTCATTATGTGGGCAAATCTCCACATAATGGGATCTAGTTGATGTTTTGGAATAGCTGAGAACAAAATCTGACTGAGGTCCTGCATGTTAGGCAGCAAGCAAGCAAACATTGTTCAGTTTTAAGTCTTTTTGGAAACCAAAGTTAAAATAAGCCTATCATTCTACTGATTAAGATCAAATGTTTCCTTTTCCACATAAACCTTTGCATCCTCTGTTTAAATGCTTTTTTAAAATATAGTGTAATTGCAAATATGTATTATAATCATTCTTATCATCTCACAATATGGATTCTCCATTAAGTTCCCAGTCCAACTGGATCTAAAGGCCAAGAAAACTCTCAAACAGAGTCATTGATGTATCTGCTCAAGACAATATTGCAGCATTTAAATATGTTAAGTCTTTTTTTAAGGTTATTATTCTTTATTAATAAAACCTTATTAATATTAGGCCATCATAGACTTTCTTAACTAGGTTTAAGGCTTTAGAATAGAATAAAGCTGGAAGGAACCTTGGAGGTCTTCTAATCTTTGAAGTGGTTGTCTCAACACAAGTCAACCTCCCAATTAGAAAAAAAACATTTAACAACTTATATATCTTAACATCTCAGGAGAACTTTTTCTAGAGCTTGTTTCGAACAACTAGACTCCATGGTAGGACATGAGAGGTTTCATGGAGTCCCCATTGAAGAAAGACTGTGTATTTCTGGAGAACCAACTGTTGAAGACATTGGACATATTCTTCTTGACTGCAAACTGTACTCTGCAGAAATGGTTCTTATTTATGTTCTTATTTAAAAATTAAAAAATACCGAGGCATCTGGGAGAAATTGTCTTACTTTTTACAGGGAATGAACGTGCACGTCACTAGTAAGACTGCAGTGTTTTTTTTCAAAAGCCATTTCAAAGAGAATGGAATATTTAGATCAGATTGGGATTAGCTGTAGGGGTGATGGCTTACTAAGAACATGTCCCATAGTGCTTTTTTTTGGGGGGGGGTATCTATTTGTATATTTGCATTTGTTTTATATTTTTTGATACGGTCAAATGACTAAATCAAGTTTCCATTCCATTCCATTGCATTCTATTATTCTTTTCTAATTATTCTTATTTTGTTATTTGTATACCATTTTGAGATAACATGTGCTCATTACTACATTAATTAGAAGTGCATCAGGACAGGGCTTGAAGTCCTACATTTGAAGTCCCGTAATATTCTGAGCAAGATTCAAAGCCCTAAGTATCTTGGGATCAGAAGGGTCCTCTGCTGCACATCAATTTGTCTTCAGGTCATAAATGGAAGCTTTTCTCTTAGTGAAAGGATGATAAGCAGAGGGTTACTTCATACCACTAATGGAACTCTTTCCTAGCAAAGCCACTAGTGACTTTGTTTTTTTTCTTGTCCTTTTAGCACCAAGGAGATACATGTTTATTCTTTGCAGAGCTTTTAAGTTTGCTATCTTAACCTATTGTAACTGCTGTTTCAATGCTGGTTTTACTCAGAGTAATTTGTTTTGCGGTATTGCATTGTTTGTTCTTTTATTGGGAACTGTTCTGGAACACAGCATATACAACATATAAAATAACCCTGCTGTGTAAAGTCTGCAACAGTGTGCTGTGTTTGCCAAATTATGTTCCTCATTAGCTGGTACTATACACAACTGTGACCAGGAATGGCGCTGCCTCCTTTAATATTTGTCTTCCCTTTTAAAGTCCTATATTCATGAGTAAGAAAATAGTGCATAAAGGACCCCATTGGCTTCAATTCCCATGATTCCAGCAAGCATAGTTTTGGGCCAACGTAGTTGATATGTTATGAATATGTAAGTTCAACAGATTAGGATAACACTAAGCAAGGAAGTGGGGTTCTCACAATGTTGCCTTGGTTTGGTTTGCTTTAGCAAAATAGAACAGATCCACCTGCATTTGCAATACAGCAGTTTTTAAAACATTTCTCCCCTTCTATTATTATCTGAAGGTGTTGAAGGCTCTTGACAGTACCTGGTCAACTATGCAGTTTGAACATGAGCCTCACCACAGGACGGGAACAATGATGCTGAAGGCAGACGAAGCACTAGTAGAAACCCTTGAAGAGAACCAAGTGCAGCTCCAGACTCTGATGACTTCTAAGTATCTGGCCCACTTCCTACAGGAGGTCTCCGGCTGGCAGCAGAAATTATCCACTGCTGACTCTGTGATATCCATTTGGTTTGAAGTCCAGAGAACCTGGAGTCACCTGGAGAGCATTTTCATTGGCTCAGAAGACATTCGAAACCAGCTTCCTGAGGACTCAAGGCGTTTTGATGTCATTGACAAAGATTTTAAAGTAAGCAAACTTCCTTTTAAGCGCTGATTCTGTTACTATTGCAAAAATATTACTAGAATGGCTAACAAATCTTTCTTCTCTTTAAAGGAATTAATGGCTGATGCAGTAAAAACTCCAAATGTGGTTGAGGCAACAAATAAACCAGGTCTCTATGACAAGCTAGAGGCCTTGCAGCAAAGGTCAGGAGGCTAATTTTGTCAAAGTGCAAATGTAAAATAGAGCAGAAGGAATGGTTTTTTGCAGCAGAAGCAAGTCATAGGGTGACAATTCTTGCAAGTCCACCTTTTAGTCAGAGAGAGAGAGAGAGAGAGAGAGAGAGAGAGAGAGAGAGAGAGCGAGCACCATTTCATCAGTGCCAAGTTTCTATTTATAATTTCTGTTTGTTTTTAATGGCAGCATTAAATGAAGCTAGGCCCCCATTCTGAATAACTAAAATTCTTCAGCTAAGACTTGGAATCAGAAGCTTTTTCTACTTGGCCTTGTTTTGGAAATAATTGTCTGTCACAATGATAATTGGGGATAGTTATGTTTCAGTGGCTATGGAAAATGTATTTGAGTAGTTGTCCCAGCGCACTAATGCATAGGCTGCCTCAAACAAGAACCATTTGTTGCAGTGTTAGTTAATGAAGATTATTTCATTATTTCTTTAAACTGAACAATAGTAGATAATACACAAAGCATAACTTGAGCGCCAAATTTATCACAACCTCTGATACAACATATTTGCAAGTAACCTTTTGCTTGTAGATTAAGTGCTATTCCTACAATTTATTTATTTTATTTATTAAATTTCTACACCACCCATCTTACCTGAGGCAGGTGAGATATGCATGCCCATTTCTTAACACTCTTGTCCCTTTTGAGTAATTTCTGAGCCACGTCCATCAAAAGCGTTAATGATCATGTTAGCATCAAACAAAATGAGGGTTCTCTTTATGTTGGAGATTTCCCTGCTTCCTTGGGTTTTCTAAAAGCTAACATTTAGGCTGAAAGCTGCTTGGGACAGAAGCCACTTTTGGGTTTGGTCACCTCATCCATCCCACTACAAGCAGTAAATGGAAACCAGATGATATTCAAAGGGCCCAGTGCTCCCACATCTGCCTCTGTTTTCCTGGAAGTGTTGTGCTGAGGTTTAAAAACGATATATTTTTTAAAATAATCAGATGCCTGGGAGTGCTTCAAGCCTGTCCTTTGCCCCTCTGATTATTATTAGTCCTCACAAGGACCTGAGACATCCCGAGGAAGTAAAATGGCACTCAATTGAAGGCTATCTTATCAGTCTAAAATGCTCCCAGCCAATACCTCACCTTCCCAAGAAAAATCAAAGTAGGGATGAAGTCAATTACATTCCCTAGCAAAGAAGGAGAATGCCGTGTAGGCCAAAAAGAGGAAGTACAGTAAAGTGAAGAGAGAAAAAAAAAGCGGGAAAATACGAATGCACAGAAGAGAGTCATATTTAAATGGATCAAATGTTTGGGAGATTCCAATTCCACTTCTCGTATTGACCCTGAGAAAATTAAACCTCTGCTTTAAAGTCTACATCCATGTACATCTATAGTGATGAATAATGATAATCTTAGAGAGAGCAAAAAGAACACTATTACTACTTTCTTCTCGCTTGCTTTTTAGTTTGGCACTCTGTGAAAAAGCTCTGGCTGAATATTTGGAAACCAAGAGACTGGCTTTCCCTCGATTTTATTTTGTATCTTCTGCTGATCTGCTGGATATTTTGTCCAATGGTAATGACCCTGTTGAGGTACGATGGAATGTCTTGGGTTACAGTATTTATTTATTTATTTGGAACTTGTAATGGAATTTGTAATTGAATGTCAGGAGTTTGACTAAGTTCTCTTTCCCACATAAAAAAATTAACGTATCCAATACAAATACCACAGAATAATAGAAACTGAACAGGATTTCTGTGACTTGATAACAGTTGGAGAAAGGGATGTAGCTTAGTGAGGCCTATGGTTTAAATTTTGACAATCTCACTTAACAGTTAATAAAAAGACCTTTCTCTCACTGGGATCAAACAGTTAGAGAAGAAAATGAGTGAATGTGTCAGCTGCACAGATTTGAGTGATGTTTTCAAATTAGACACTTTTTGTTCAGTTGATCAATGCATATTTACTTCAAGCTTTCAACAGTGATGATCTTTTTAAAGAACTGCTGATGTCTTCATCAGATCTCTAATACTACTGTCTGGTCCTTTGTGTTGTAATTCTTGAAGGTCTCCCGCCATTTGTCCAAATTATTTGATAGCATGGCAAAGCTGAAATTCAAACTAGATGCGGAAGAAAAGCCTCTGAAGATTGGCGTGGGAATGTACAGCAAAGAAGATGAGTATGTTGATTTTGACAAGGACTGTGACTGCTCTGGACAGGTTAGTTATAATTCTTTTTAAATGCAGTATTCCTGTAGATCTTAAGTTAGCAGAAAAATATCACAATGTCACTCCCAGACAATGTTCTGCTCAAGTATTAAGTTACTAAGCATACTGACCTTACGGTCTCAATGTGGGGCGATTGAAAAGCACTGAATGGTGGACTCCCCTGAATGATTTTCCTGTCACAGTAGCATTACCTGCTGACGGGGAAAAATCATCACCAATCATGGTTCTTACCAGCAGGCTTGGTTAACTGTAAGTGAGTTTAGCACCCTTCAAGTTGCCACGTTGGCAGGTTACTGGCCCTAGCAGAACTTTCATAGTGGTGTCACTCACTATCTCTGTCTGGCACTTTTCTGGAAGAATGCTAAGCCTGTGTTCTTCATTGATTCTCACCTCTTTGCTGCACTTATGATCTTTTTTTTACCTAAGTGAAAATAGGAGAACTCTTGCCAGTATCACCCTGCTGCCATACATCCCAAATAAAATAGGGTATAGCTGCCAGGGTATAGCTGACAGTGAGTGACAGCAAACAAAATTATATCCTCCACTGCCAAAAAAATTATGACACTAAGAAATATGGCCAGACAAACCCCCTGATAGACAGACATTGCAGACCATTGGTTGCAGAACCAGCAACATTCAATTGGCAAAATCTGGCTTTATCTCCTGTTTTTTAAGTTTAGATCCATTTTCAACAGGCAAGTCTACTGTACTTCCAGAAGGGACCAACACCTGTATATGTAGATTACTCACATAAGTTTTGAATTATATGTCCTGAAACACATTATAGACATTATATAGGCACATTCCCTTGCAAAAGCCAAGTATTGAGTGCCTCTTCCAACCTAAGCAAAAATACCCACGGAGGGCAATGAAGAGGTGTCATGTCTGCAATATCTTCAGTGCCCAGCAAGAGTTGAGCAGATCTTACTCTTTGATCATCTTCTCACCATCATCATAATGAGGCATGGTAGATTATTTCTATGGCAAATAATTTTGTGCTGGAAGAAAAGGTAAAACTCCCCTTTAACACCAGAACAGCTAAAACTGAATATAAACTGCTCTACCATGAGCTGAAGAAAATAGCCTGAGAATATATCCATTGAAAATAGTGACTGAGGTGATGTCACACTGTGGTTGGTGGGATGTAAGGCTGTGCCCTATGAAAAATAATAAACCATGCTGTCTGGGACATGTCATGGAAGGACAGTTCAACACAGTTCATTCAGAGATCCTTCAAGTGATGCTAAATTTTCATCATCTCTTTTTTATATATGCTTTAAATAACTGGATAACTGTATGCCCAAAAACTGGCCCCACCCCGCTCCACCCCCTGTCCCGCCCCAGCTCTGCCCCCCCATCCCCCACCCTGCAGGGCCACTCACCACCTCCAGGGCCTGCCGCAGATTGCCCAGGCAGCCCAGCAGTGCTTTGGCGGTCACGCCCTCTGCCCACGCCCTGCAGCATCAACTGTGCACGATGGAGTGTGAGGGCAGAGTCTTGTCTACGCTGCCTGGCTGCCATGTCCTTGGCTGCGCTGCTCCGCGTAGGCCACGCTCAGGGGCGACTCTCCTTCAGGGGGCTGCTGGAGAGGAGGGGGTCATGGGGGGAGGCAACGGCACGTGTGCCCACAGAGAGGGCTCCGAGTGCCGCCTCTGGCACCCATGCCATAGGTTGGCCACCACTGCTATAGGCTAACATCAGGATAGCTAGTGAAAATTATTTTTTAGCAACAGCAAAATGCAACAACCTTACAGTAGTGTACTAATTTTTGACTTATCATGATCATCATCTCACCGTTCTGCCAATAAGGCACACGATACAAATGAGTAAAAATTACACATTTTCTAATATAATCTGGTGAGGAAAGAGATTTAGAATTCGAACATTTAGAAGGATGCATATCAAGGCAGTACAACATGCAAAATTAATTTGGAAAGTCTACACCCAGGTTGAAGTTTGGTTAAACCGAGTGTTGGAGAGAATGCAGAATACCTTGCGCCAACTAATAGCTGAAGCTGTAGTGACTTACGAGGAAAAGCCGAGAGAACAATGGATATTTGATTACCCAGCCCAGGTAAGCAAAAAAGCACTATGGTTCAAAGGCATGTAATGCATGAAAAAGGAGGCAGGAACCAAAACAAGTTCATTTATGTTTATTCCATCTAAAGTTTTGGTCCTCCCTAGGCAGCATACATATCTAATTCTTCCATCTCCTGTTTTCCCTACAACAACAACTCTGTGAATGAGTTGACTTGGGCTAAGAGAGAGGGACTGGCCCAAAATCACCCAGTGAACTTCCAGGCCTAAGGACTTCCAGCTCTAAGTCACAGTCCTGATTTCTAGCCCAACATCTCAGCTGCTACTCCAGAGTGGCTGAAATTCTAACAAAATACAAAGGTAGACAGAAGAAGCATTTTTTTGTGAAGTTTAAGCTTAAAGTCTGATCACCCATACCTCAATGAGGGGCAATGTTTCTAGATGATTCACAGGACCGCAACTTTTCATATAACTTTTTGTCTGTGGCAGATTGCTTTAACATGTACCCAGATCTGGTGGACTACGGAAGTTGGCATTGCCTTTTCACGACTGGAAGAAGGCTATGAAAATGCAATTAAAGATTACAATAAGAAACAGGTGAATAGAGTTCTCTCAGTTTACCTGACTGTAAAACATTGGTATGTGCAATGATAGAACCTACGTGTGTGTGTGTGTGTGTGTGTGTGTGTGTGTGTGTGTGTGAGTATCAGACAAGTTTCCACAGCTCATGCTGAAAGAGATCAGAAAAGTCTTTCATCTCTTTTGTTTTCCTCTTCACAGATTAACCAGCTGAACACCTTAATTACACTGCTGATTGGGAACTTATCTCCAGGGGACAGAATGAAGATTATGACCATTTGTACTATTGATGTGCATGCCAGAGACGTCATTGCCAAAATGATTTTAGCAAAGGTATATTGTGAACTAAACACTGTGCAGTATTTTGTTCATGGGCATGTTTGAGCAAACCTTTTGTTCTGTTCGTTCATCCTGAAATCTCTTAATTTCAGGTTGAAAGATGAATTGCAAGAATTAGCCTCCCCCAGCCTGGTGCACTTCAGATATAATGGACCACAATTTTTATAATCCCCATTGACTGTGTCTGGGAGATTTCAGAATTGTAATTTAATACATCCACCATGGAAAAATGAATAAGCAAAGGGGTTGGGCCAATCATACCACTACAAATTGTTTTAGCTAGCAAATGCCATAGAACTCAATCTGCTCTAATGCATTCTAATTTTGTCACGAAGGAATCCTGAAAAAATTACAGAAAAAACGTGCAGGGCAATTATGGCCTTACCAAACATAAAATGAAATGTTCATCTCTTACTGTGCCTTTGGGAGGTCAAACGTTTTGGGAGCTTTACCTTAAAACTTTAACAATCTGATCTCTGAGATAAGTTATTGCACTGCAAATGATGTAAGGCCTTCTCCCTTATTAACAAAGGGCAAACAGATCTTGCTATGGCATGAGAAATTCTGAAGAGGTGTTCCTCTTGGTTGCATTACCTTACATGATTGAAAAATATAGACTTGGAAATTAGATGTATGAAAGGCTTTTATCTAGTCACATAGTCAACCGCCTGACAAAAGAACACCAAGAGTTACCTTTCACCTTTAGAAGCAGCATTGTTTAAAAAAAATTAATATTGGAAACCATTGTTCCAGCTGGATGGTACAATGGAGGGACCTGGAAGACCACTTAGACTTCACTAAAGACAAAAGAATTAACCTTCATCCATAACGAGAGAAACCTACTTTATTTAAGAAACTTAGGATGTTCATAAAGAAGATGTGCAAAAAAATGTTGGGTGGTCTATTTGCAAATGGTTGCCATCGTGGCAACTGATGGCATAAGTAATGGATGCCATTTGTAAGACATATATACAAAGAAACAAGATCATTTTTCATCTCTGGATCAGCCCTAATAAGTTTAGTCATGGCATGGCTATCTTATTTTCTCCCCCTTCCCAAGCTACCCAAATACAGAGCTGATACAGCTACAAAAAGGGCATATTAAAAGCTGATAATGAAAAAAAATGGCCGGAAAACTCTTGTGTTTGGCTCCATCCAAGAGAAAATGGCTGCCATTCAGCCAGCCTGCTGCACTGTTCATTTGCTTCTTCTGTAAGACACACATCGAAAGAAGCAATAATGATTACCACCAGCTCTTCCCCTTCTTCCTTGGCTTCTCACTGAACCCAATAAGGGCCACCTAGCACTCCCTAGTCAGAACTAAATTGCACTCCTTTCATGACAGGTGGAGAGCTCTCAGGCCTTTACGTGGCAGTCCCAACTTAGGCACCGTTGGGATGAAGAAAAGAGGCACTGCTTTGCTAATATCTGTGATGCTCAACTCCAGTATTCCTATGAATACCTTGGCAACACTCCTCGTCTGGTGATCACCCCGCTTACTGACCGGTATGAGCTCACCCACACAAACTTGAGTGTGGCACAGCCTGATTTCTCAGGCCCAAGATAACATGCCCAATCCCTGTGTTTTGCAGTTGCTATATCACCCTGACCCAGTCCCTCCACTTAATCATGGGAGGAGCCCCTGCAGGTCCTGCGGGAACAGGAAAAACCGAGACCACCAAAGACTTGGGCAGGGCTGTAGGCATCATGGTGTATGTCTTCAACTGCTCTGAGCAAATGGACTATAAGGTAGTGATCTAATGAAATATGGGTCAGGAGAACATCTTCTGACCTATAAAGTCTCCTACTTGTTCTAATTAATGCTTATGCAACACTTCTTTGATTTGATTTGAGGACAAGTACTTCTCTTTAGCGCATTTGAGTCATATGCAAATCACTTAGAAAAGAAATCCAAAGAAAAAGAATATGAAAGAGTCATTCATTGAGAGCTACAATTAAATATACACAGGTTTTTGTTGGTTATGCAAAGACTGTGTTATCTTGAAAGCAATGGGCCTTTTCCCAAGTTCCATGCAGTAAAATAAGCATTTTCCATCTGCACTGTTTCCATTTGGCAGCACTAATTATACCACTGAAAACAGCCTAAAAAGAACAGGCTGCTCATCTTTACAACAGTTTCTTTTTTAAAAATATCCTTCCCGGTGATGCCTCATCTGTTTTCTGCGCTTCATGAGTACTAAGGAGAATATTATTGCCTGTAAATGCATTCATTTCCAAAATAATGCACCTCATTTCAGTTTGAAGTTCCTATAGGATGGCCTTGGGACCAGTCTATGGCTTCACCTTTAATTTGAAATGACTAGGTAAGAGGTGAGGGTCCTAGGAAGCTTGGGGGATATTAAGGGTACTTGCAAATCTCCCCCAAATCACTTCCCTACCTGCTTACTCTGGATAGGGCTTGTTCTTGGAAATATCCAATCACCCCACTGATTCTGATTCAGATTCAGATTCAGAATAGAGCTGGAAGGGACCTTGGAAGAGGAGAGGGCCTATATACCATTCCAGACAAATGGCTATCCAGTTTTTTCTTTAAAAACTCCAGTGATGAAGCACCCACAACTTCTGAAGGCAAGCTGTTCCACTGGTTGATTGTTCTCATTGTTAGGAAGTTTCTCCTTAATTCCAGGTTGCTTCTCTCCTTGATTAGTTTCCATCCATTGTTTCTTCTCCTGCCACATGGTGTCCCAGAAAATAAGTTGTGGGACAAATTGGAAATATTCGTAGTGGGGTATTTCCATCAACAAATACCGAAGACTGCATGACCCATACTACTTTCACTGTGTAAAGATAACTGCAATCAAATGATACTTTCTTCATTCTAAACATTTTTTTCTCTTTCTAGTCCTGTGGAAATATCTACAAAGGGCTGGCCCAAACCGGGGCCTGGGGATGTTTTGATGAATTCAATCGGATTTCGGTAGAGGTCCTGTCAGTAATTGCGGTACAGGTAACTATTTTGCATAAGAAGCTGGTGCTGTTGTGTATAAATAACTGGGGGCAGGGGAGATGATTGCAGCTTGATGATTGCAGCTCAATGTCTATCCTGTGGGTGTTCCAAGAACAACAACTGCTTTAAAAAAAAACCCCTGGGCAGCTAGTCCATCTTTTTTATGTTCTGATGAGATAAAAGATGGAAGTGGTGGTGGGAGGCTGCTCAAAGGAATAAAATGTTCAGGATTCAATGTAAAAATTCTGTGACTACCGCAGACTGCTGTATCATTCTGTGATAAGGCCTCCCTTATTCCTCCTCCTTTGTTTGATGGGTGCTTTATCTGACACTGCTTAGAACCAAGCAGTCAGTGAGATGTCAGAACCACATAATAGAGCACATTAGATTGGACAATGTGAGACCATCCAGAAGCTATTCAATGCATTATCTTCTCATTCTTAACAGTGAACACGTTGCTGTTTATAATTCAATCCTACAGCAGTGTTTTAAAAATTGGTACTTTTCAGCTTCCAAAAAGCCTTATTCAGATGCATAAGTACTGTTTTAGTCATGCTTAGTGTACCATAAAATGTCCTGGAAAATGAATGTGTGAGCTTGAGTATGCAGTTATTCCTTGGTTTACTGTTTATCCAACGTGCCTTAGGTATTATCAGCTCCAAGTAGTTGAATTGTTATACATTTATATATAAATATTTGCATACCGCACTTCATTATCCAAATGCATGTGAATTAATAAAAGTATCTTCTGCTCATTGTTTAGGTTAAATGTGTTCAAGATGCTATTCGAGCCAAGAAGAAGACATTCAATTTCCTTGGAGAGATGATCTCTCTGATTCCCACTGTTGGAATGTTTATTACCATGAATCCTGGGTATGCAGGTCGTACTGAACTGCCTGAAAATCTGAAAGCGTTATTCAGGTATTAACATCTTGAGGAAATGAGGCAATGCAGGTTGGCTTGAATAAAGAAAAGGTTTGACCCAGGGAATTGGGTTAAATACAGAAATTCAGATGGCTATGTTTGCTTTGTCCATATTCATATCTATAAAATCACCAAGAGCTGAATTTGATTTGGAAATGGATATTTAAGATTGGGTCATGCCTACTCTGGCAGGCTTTAATGGAACAAGCCCACCCCCCCCCCAAATGCTCATTTCAAGAAGGCACTCAATGGGACGCTCTTAAATGTATAAATATGTCACCAGCCAAGAAAGGCTGGGAATCCCTGAACTAGTATATGGACTAAATGCCCTGAAATAAACTTTCAAGTAAGTATACCTGAAGTCCACTTATTTTGAAACTTTGGCCAAGTAATATTAAAAATGAGTTCTTTGCATAAAATATTATACGAGAAAGCTGTTGATTGCACACAATAAAAAGCGTATTTATCATTTTTACCTTTTTACAGCAGGTGGATTTTTTTTCTAATAGAGGCACTTGAAATTGAATTGTGTCTGGCATTTGCAGTGATTGCTCACTTTAGCGGAATGGAAATATGTGCTGTTGCTTCTGCTGTATAAGCACTCCAGATGCTCATTTTTCTCCATGTCCTCTTGTAGGCCCTGTGCCATGGTTGTGCCTGATTTTGAGCTTATCTGTGAAATCATGCTTGTTGCTGAAGGTTTTATTGAAGCTAGGCTTCTGGCCAGGAAATTTATTACGCTCTACACACTATGTAAGGAGCTACTTTCCAAGCAGGTAATTGAATGTGGTTCCACAGCTCCGCTATGGCGCCAAATATTTCAAAGCAAACAAAAAATTGGTGGGAAAGAATTGGCAGAGATTTCTGAAAATATTACAGTAATATGACTCACTGGATTCCATCTCCAAGTTCTCCATTATACTGTATTTTTTTTTTCCAAAGTCCTTGACAACACTACAAGAATGTATAGATTTCAATATCTGGAATAAATCCAGAATAAATGCAGCTGACCACCCCGTTCACTTGGGTAGGCCAACACATCCTGCAGGAGCCTTCCCCAACTGGGAGAACCATAGATGTATTTGGATTGCAACTCCCATCATCCCTGTTCAGCATAGTGAGGGAGATGGGAGTTATGGTTCAGAAATATATAGAGTATCCTGTATATGTGGGGAAAGCCAGTGAGGAAAGTTGGTTTATAGCCTTTGGGAAAAGACTTAAAAAGGTTTGGGAAGGCCCATTTTCCTCTAATCACAGTGCATATCTTTGCTAAGGTAGCCGTGTCTAGGAAGCCCTTTCTTCTCATTGGAAGTGGGTGATGTTTTGCACCTTATTTAAGTGACATCCTTTCATTCACCTGGAGTTCTAATGGCACTTCCTATCTCTCAGGATCACTACGACTGGGGGTTGAGAGCTATCAAGTCTGTGCTAGTGGTGGCAGGGTCCCTGAAGAGAGGGGACCCAGGCCGGGCTGAAGACCAGGTCCTCATGAGAGCTTTGCGAGACTTTAACATACCCAAGATTGTGACTGATGACTTACCTGTGTTCATGGGACTCATTGGGGACCTTTTCCCAGCCCTGGATGTACCCCGGAAGCGTGACCTGAACTTTGAGAAGGTGAGTTGGCTACTGTGGTTTCAAGCAAAGGGCTAAGGAAAGCAGTTAAATGCTTCTCACCAGAAGTACAAGAACTTTCTTCTGAGGGAAAATCAAGATGTCACCAGAAGAACAGCCCTGATTCAGAAACTGGCAGGGGCTGCTCTCTCTATTTACTTGAGTTGTAAGACTGAAGGACAGGGCTTGTAAGCAGAATCATGCTACCAAGCCATGCTTCAGCCAGGGATCCCTTGGCCCATTTTTTTTTTAAAAAAATAGCCCTGCTTGCTTCCTACTCTCTTGTTTAATGGATCGAACCACATGCAATTATATTTGCAGTTTTCTTTGTCTCTGAATTATGCACTTTGTTTCTTGTTTTTAAGCATCACCACTGCTACCATCATCATACAGTCAGTGTACACAGACTGACTGAGATGGAGATGGGCGGTATAGAAATGTGAGGTATAAATATTCCTCGACTTATGACCATTCATTTAGCAACCGTGTGATGGTGCAAAAAAAAAGTGACTTATGACCAGCCCTCGCAGTCACATGATCAAAATTTGGGTGTTTGGCAACTGACATGTATTTATGATCATTTGGAATGTTCCATGATCACCCTTTGCAACTTAGCTAGCTGGCTTTCAACAAGCAAAATCAATGGGGGAAGCTAGATACACTTAACAATCCTGGTGATTTGCTTAACAGCTACAGCAAAAAAAGGTGTAAAATCTGGTGTAACTGACTTAATAATCATCTTCTAGCAGCAAAGATTCTGGTCCCAATTCTGGATATAAGTTGAGGACTCTGTGTATATATGTGCGTATGAATTTAATTCCTTGTGTGGACCAATTATGAAGATTAATAGAAATGACTTGGAATACAATAGACTGATAAATAAAACACGCAGAACTAACCCAATCTGGAAATAAACAAATCTTATTAAATCTCTTATCCTCAGATTATCAAACAAGCTGTTGTTGAACTTCGTCTGCAACCCGAGGAGAGTTTTGTTTTGAAGGTGGTGCAGCTAGAGGAACTACTGCAAGTCCGACATTCGGTGTTCGTGATTGGAAATGCCGGCTCTGGCAAGTCACAGGTGAGAACTCTGTGCCACCACTTGGGACTTTTTAGCCAAGGACTCAGCTATGAGCTCAGTGTCATTACCAAGGGCCAACTGAACGTAGAAATGTTTTGTTTAAAATTGGTTTCACAGAACATGGCAGCCTTCATAAGGTGTCTCCCAAAATATTTGTGATTGACAGATCTTAAACCCAAGGTCAGGGGCCTGAATGCACTGCTGTCTGGAGGAAAGCCAGATAAGTGGCTAGCTACCCCACACACTGGCGGTTCCAATGATCTCATTTGCTGTGGGAGGAGGAATGTAAAAATTTTTCTAGCACTACCATTATCTCCTTGAATCCTGTTTGGTTTCTCAAAATAACATATTGCAGCTATAGCCACCTGCTCTTCTGAGCACCTGTTCATGATCATGATCATGACTTTGGTTAGGTGGGCACCCTAAACAAATGCGCTGATTTCATGACACTTCCTTCTCAGTGTATGGGGGCTACGGGCATTTGGATAAGGAACAACAGACTTTGGCTCAACCCTAGCAAGCGGATTTTGGAGCCTTCCAACTCTGTGGACTCTTCATCTTTGGTCCTGGTTGAGATTATACTCCCTCAGAAAGAACTGATGCACAGTTTGGAAGTTCTCTAGTCTAGAATGCTAGGCTTCTACTGGAAAGCAGGTGTCAGGCATGCCAAGAAGGTCTTTGCACAAATCCATCTCTTGCACCAATCCTGGATTGGAATGCCCTACTCACAATCACTTAAGGTCTTATCACCTCCTGTTTAAACCACTGCAATGTGCTCTATTTAAGGACTTCCCGGAAGCTGGGCTTGATTCAGATGCAATGAAGCAAGTAGTTATGAACTCGTCTTGATGCACCCACATAATACCACTGCTTTTTTCTGGAAGCAATTTAAGGTGTTGGTTATAGCCAATAAAGCTGTTAATGGCACAGGACTCAGTTACTTGTGGGACTATTTGTCTCTGATTATGCCTATTCAGCCTATACGCTCTGGCAGTGGGAGCATGCTTCAGGTCCCTTTCACAAAATAATCCCACAGTGGGAACCAAGGGACATGTCCCTGCCCTATGAGACATTACTTTCCCCTGGTTTAGATGGCCCAAACCCTTCTCTATTTCTACAGGGCCCTAAAAAACTGGTTCTTCCCCCAAGCATTGATCAGATCCCATGATGAGCTCATATATTAGGCCTTTGAATGAGATCTGAGCTAGCTGGCCTTAGTTGTTTCCCTGATTATTATTATTTCTGTTGTGTTATCCTGTTTTTTATGGTCTGGGATTACGTATTACATTATAATATTTTTAATTTCTAGTTTTTACATTTTTTTTCAACATGTAAGCTACCCAAAGTCTCCCTTGCAAATTAGGCAACCATATAAATCCTATCAATCCAACATCCAATCTGGGTTGGTCACCGGGACCAGAGGTTTAGTCTTCCAAGCTTTGGGACTTGTGCTGGAGCCCATCAATCCAATCAATATCTTTGGAGGCTCCAATAGTGGCCGCGTCCCTTGCTTATGCTGGCTCAAAGATGATTAAAATTAAAGTCCGATATATCTGGAGAATGCCAGATCAGGAATGGACACAATAGTGCATATGATGGACAGAATATTCAATCTTTTCTTTCTGGCAGGTATTAAAATCTCTGAATAAAACTTATCAGCTCATGAAGAGAAAGCCTGTAGCTGTTGACCTTGATCCTAAAGCTGTGACTTGTGATGAGCTATTTGGTATAATTAATCCAGCAACAAGAGAATGGAAAGATGGTAAGAAGCAAATAGTTACTTTCTGGAGATTGAGCTGAACCACATTTTTTATTTTGATTGTTGTTTAGCTACAATCTCCAGAAATCACAGAAAGGTGATTATATAAAAGCTGAGAAAATAGTGCAAAATAGCAAATGTCTACATTAATGTGCATAGAAAGATCATGCATTTGTTTTACAGAATAACATTTAAATTTCTTCCATGAAATACTACTAAAGTGGCACTATATATATATATATATATATATATTGGTAATTAAACTGAATATATGATCCCTGGGTGCATCCATGCCAAACAAATAAAATAAAACGAACACCAGGGTAAAATAATCAAACTCTAGGAGTTTAATGTTACAGTACCAAACGCCAAGCTTTCGTCAGCATTCTGCTGACATCATCAGGGCTTAAACGGTCAGTCTATGGG